AGTTTTTTTTTAAAATAGTCATTGGCGTAGAAGTTCTGTTTAAGAAAGGGGTTGAGCACCCCCTCCACTCCGCCACTGTGCAAGTTTTTGAACATTCTTATCGCTTGTTTTATGCCCCTTAATTAATAGGCATTATCTCCCAAACATGAAAAAAATCTAAGCATTCGTTTATAAGTTATAATGAAAATTCGAGAAAAAAAATTATATTCAACACCCTGTATCTCGGAAACGAAGCCTTCTACGACATATGTTTATAGGAACTTTTCTTTTTAAAAACATGTGTTCTATCTCCTGTTAAAGTTTGTCTACAAAAAACTGACTCACCCTGTATATCGGAAATAAAAATATGACCATACCTATATGTATTTTGTTATTTTTAGAACCTAAAGCAAAAAGATCCCGGACAAGTTTTATGTCCATGCCCATAGCGTGTAAGATGTCAGCTCAATGTCGATTGGGTAAGTAATTAACAAAGCAAATTTTTACTGAAACAGGAAAACTTTTGTCTATCTATAATGTCAGTCAAGATTAATGCTTGCTTTTTGTAGTAAACTTATTAAAATGCCTGTGTTTTTGGTAGTGTACTTATTCTTTAAGTTACGCTGTCGTAACAGCAATATTCAGGGTGTAACTTACCTTTTTAGAAGTTCTATGAACTTATGTCCTAAACAGGCAAGGTATTAAAGTTTAACGCAAGTAAATTTGAAATACAGTGATCGAGTTTCCAAAATACTTAGTGATTTCATAATTATAAAGGTTCCTAGTGTCTTGGTATCTCCTAGTATCGCTACCATTATAATAGTATACAAATTCATTGAATTTTTTACCTTGTCTTAGTTAAATCACTAGCACAAGTTTGTTCAGTCTGTTAACCATCTTCAGAGATAGTTTTAAAGAATTTTCACTTGTCAATAAATGACTAAGACACTGGTTTTCAACTTTTTAGGTATTTCTCATCGGTTTACTTTTATTCATACTAGGTACTAGTTTTTCTAGTAAATTGAATGCGGAATTTTCGAAACCAAATTAGACGTGGGTCGCCAGAAAACCCTATAGGACTTGGTTTTCCTTTTTGCCAAACAAAAACACCATATTGTTGCTGGTTTCCGCCAATGGTAATCTAGTCTGACATAAGTTAATGGTATTTTTGTACTTTTACTGCTTAGATTTGCTTCTAGCAACACTAATGAGACCCTGTTCCGAATCGATAACGTTAACTGCAATTTTTTAAAATAATAAAAATTTACCTATTTTGCAGTATAAATAAAACGCTATCGGACCAAATAATCTTAATCATACCTAACTCTTAAATAATATACTCTACACTGTTGAATTATTTCATGTATTTCACTTTTCCTTCGATATTTATGTTTAACCTAGTCAAAGGTAGTCAGTAATTATCAGTTCACACAATTCGATTTTCTGACGCATGATACCATCAGTGACATCTGCATTTCTGCATTGCTAATAAAAGTAATAACGTAAACGATAACACCAAAATTATCTTTTTGAAGTTATCATCTGTACTTGCTAAGTTAATGGTTTGCTTGCTCTGTACTTTGCAACAAAATTAATAATCAAATAACTGGGAAATCGATGAGTCGAATCACTGCTATGAAATATTCTAGAAAACTTGCAATGACCTTACACTTTAACACAGTAAAGAGCTTAAAATAGATCCCTGTGGGTCTCCATGTTGAACAGGTAATGGTTTAGATACTTTAGATTTTAGATGTACCCTTTGGGTTCCAGAATAAAGAAAATTTTCTATGAGAGCGGTAGAGATTAAATCGAACCCAAAACAGTTTGGTTTCTTACATAATTTATGGTCCAAAGTATCGAACGCCTTGCTGAAGTCTAATAAAATTAAACAGGAGGCTTTGCAATTATCAGTACATTGCGAAGTATACCATCGGCTACATGAGATAAAGCTGTAACAGTGCCGTGATTCGATCTAAACCTTGATTGAATTGGAGGAATAATATTTCGTGCTAAAACATATTCATTGATCTGTTGATGTATAACCATTTTCAAGATCTTTGACATATCCGGCAACATGCTAATAGGACGTAAATATGAAATTTCCGATGGGTTAGATATTTTTGCGAGCGGCCAAATACTAGAATGCTTCCAAGCAGATGGAAATGTCAAAGTAATAATTGCTGTATTAATTTAAAATTCTAAAAATCAACAAATTCTTTGCTAAAATACAAAGCTGGTGTAGCACAAACTGGTATTTAAATATTTTTTTATACTGGATGACGACCTATAAACAAAACGAATTAGTATCCTTTACTAAAATAACGTCCATGGGAAAAAAAAGCGTTTTGTGTTTTCACGCTGCATGTTTAAAACTTTTATTTCACAACTTTTGAGAAAATAGCCGTTTTATTTGGATTGTAGATAGTGATTCGTGTTCTTCTTTTTAATAATAATCTTCTGGATTTCAGAAATGAGAGGCAGACATTTGTGTTGCGGGAAATTATCGACAATCGTTCGTGCATATGGAGGTTAGTAATATCAGTTTCTTTACTATAACACAAAAATAACAAATACATATTTACTTGTAAATGTTTAACCCATTTTATCTGAGAGTATTATTGATAGCATCCTTTACCCCCCTTCAGTCGTGCCATTAACAGTACTAAATCTAATAATATTGTAATCACTACATAGTTTTCGTTAAATTTTGAATAATTGTTTAATGATTCTAAGAATACCCCATAGGAATTAGCACACATCATCTTGGCATAATACCGCGAAGTTGGAATTTAAATTAATAAATAAATCGTAATAAATCGAAAAATATAACGAGAAGACTTTTTACATGTGTGAATATTTTTTATAGTTAGTTTATTAGTCATTTTTTTCTAAAAGTAAACTGAAAAAAAAAAAACAATGTTTTTGCCAGATGCTCACTATTGAACCAATAAAGTATTTGCACCAAAAAAATGTGTCACATTTTATCTCTGAGTAATATTCTGCAATGAGTGTTAATGCAAACCGTATAAGCAATTTATCTAAAAGCCCCTTATATACATTTTTATTTGATTTTAAAAATTTTAATTCAACTTAAGACACCAGTAAATAAAAAGACAGTAGTGAGATTTTGGTTGAGCTTCTCATTAATAGAGGGAGCAATTAAGGCATAGTTTAACACGTCACAACTGTCCGCCATATTTGTTTGTTTTAATTTTATTACCAGTTAAATATTGATTTCATACACAAATTAAACAATATCTGGTATGCCTTTGGTCAAATTATTTCATTTCTGTTAATATTTAAAAACGCGCCAAATACCTCACTAACAACAAATATTCATCTAAGTGGCAAAATTACGTTTACTTTCCATAGAATACTATATTCTATTGTATAGATAAAGATTGTTTGTGTACATGTTTCATTAGTTTTAGTAATAATAATAATTAGATCGATCAAAATAACTCATTTAGAGGGTAAAAAAAAATTGTTACCCGGACTTTTATAAGTGGAAATGGTAAAGGGGCTTATAATAAACGAAAAAAAAAATAATAATAAATGCGTGAGCAGGGGCGGCGGAGG